ATTGCGATTCCATCTTCGCATTACGATATATTGCGGTACACTTTTCGCGAACCGGTTCAGCCGATAAGATCAGTAATTTCAGCAACCATGATCAGTAATTTTCGTGATGTAGTAAAAATACTAATAACATTTGTATTTCCTTGATATTATACATTCATAGTTTTGAGAATGTTTATTTGTCAATAACATCTGAGTCCTGACAGTGTCTAGTGGCATTGTTTCAAAAGTAAAGAAAGGAAAACGGTAATTTCATTACCTTAGTTAACCAATTCAACACCACTGGCCGGAAAACACGAGTCCCCAAACACTGAAAGGCCGGTAAACCAGCCTGGCAGTAGGTGCATATATAATTTTAGGAACCTGCCTAACATATGATTCAGTTATTACATGTATCACTTTTCACAATGTCTAGAAACATTTCAAATGACAATATATTATCGACAGCATTAGAATTATAAACTATTATATTTTATGTTATTGGAAATAACATTCTCGGGTTCATGCTTTGGCAACGGGTCCACATCAAAGTAACAATGTTTCTAGGAAACATTTAAACACATTGAATAAACTAAAGAATGATACAACAACAGGACTCATAAAAGTGGGCAAAGTAAGTCAAGTGACATCTCGGCCTCGTCACCTCAAACGATGTTTAATGCTAAAATATATGCTGGAAGCATTTTTGTCCCAGGTCATAGCCTAGCATGTTACGTCCACTAAGTTCTATAATGTACGTATAGTTATGATGTTGTGCGTGACACGTTCAGAATAGCACGGTTTTACCCAAAACTTGAGTCTATATCTAAACGTTTTCGTTTACGAGGATGGTATCCTTTGCTGTAATTTGTTTGGCTGCCTTAGGTCATGCACATGGTTCTGACCAATCAAGGTCCTTATAGCAAACTATGATTCTGACCAATCAAGGTCCTTATAGCACACTATGATTCTGACCAATCAAGGTCCTTATAGCACACTATGATTCTGACCAATCAAGGTCCTTATAGCAAACTATGATTCTGACCAATCAAGGTCCTTATAGCAAACTATGATTCTGACCAATCAAGGTCCTTATAGCAAACTATGATTCTGACCAATCAATGTCCTTATAGCACACTGTGGGCGAAAAGGCATCATTGGAAACCCATATTTATCAAATAAAATTGCTTCTTACAACTGCGAAAATCTCCTGTTATTCATAAAACCTTCGAAAATGGAGGTATTTTCCGGTTAAGTGTCATGTTACCGAGCGGAAAGCCACTGTTATCGGGAGATAGACCACCATACATAATATTTCAGAAACCTTTTTTATAATAGTTTTCAGATTACGTAAAAATGAAAATATAAAAGAAAAAGGTAAGGGGATATTATGACATGTTACAAATGGAAAAAATCACCGAATTTTTTTCTTCCTTTAATTCATGGTTGACCTGGACTTTATGAATGTGTAAGCTTACAGTGTCATTAAAAAATAACTTATCTAAATTGTAGTTGTATTGTTTGAATAATATGGTACAATATTCATAAATATGGAATGGTGCATGGCATGTAGTAGCAATAATGTTTTACAAGCTGATATTATCCTTGATAAACACAGGCTTCATCTATGATCTCAGAGTCTGGGAACTCGGTGTCGTGGTATTAAAAGTCTCTGGTTGATGGGTGTTGAAAGAGCTTTTACGATATATCGCAATGCATATTGTAATACGCCAACACATATCGCAATATATCGCAATGCATATTGTAATACGCCAACACATATCGCAATATATCACAATGCATATTGTAATACGCCAACACATATCGCAATATATCGCAATGCATATTGTAATACGCCAACACATATCGCAATATATCGCAATGCATATTGTAATACGCCAACACATATCGCAATGCATATTGTAATACGCCAACACATATCGCAATATATCGCAATGCATATTGTAATACGCCAACACATATCGCAATATATCGCAATACATATTGTAATGCGCCAACACATATCGCAATATATCGCAATGCATATTGTAATACGCCAACACATATCGCAATGCATATTGTAATACGCCAACACATATCGCAATATATCGCAATGCATATTGTAATACGCCAACACATATCGCAATGCATATTGTAATACGCCAACAGATATCGCAATATATCGCAATGCATATTGTAATACGCCAACACATATCGCAATGCATATTGTAATACGCCAACACATATCGCAATAATGCATATTGTAATACGCCAACAGATATCGCAATATATCGCAATGCATATTGTAATACGCCAACATATATCGCAATGCATATTGTAATACGCCAACATATATCGCAATGCATATTGTAATACGCCAACACATATCGCAATATATCGCAATGCATATTGTAATACGCCAACACATATCGCAATATATCGCAATGCATATTGTAATACGCCAACACATATCGTAATATATCACAATGCATATTGTAATACGCCAACACATATCGCAATATATCGCAATGCATATTGTAATACGCCAACACATATCGCAATATATCGCAATGCATATTGTAATACGCCAACACATATCGCAATGCATATTGTAATACGCCAACACATATCGCAATATATCGCAATGCATATTGTAATACGCCAACACATATCGCAATATATCGCAATATGAACATTCTGGCAATACCCAACCCTAGTAATGAATTGATTTCATATAGGGATACAATTCACCGAATACACGAGCAAGTCACAACACCCCTATTCTTTACAGATGGAAATATTTGACATTGAGTGAGCGATTGATTGAATTTAGTTTTACGCTGCACTCGGCAATATTTAAACCATATGGTGGCAGTCTGTAAATAATCAAATCTGGACCAGACAATCCAGTGACAAACAGCATGAGCGTCATTCTACACAATTGTGATACAATGACGTGTCAACCAAGTCAGTGAGTCTGTTAGGTACCTCTTATGACAAGCTCGGGTTACTGAAGATCAATTCTACCCCGGATCTTCACGTGTCGAAATATTTGACAAGTCACCCATGAGGGTCACAGGCTCGTGATCACCAAAATGTTATGTTTACATGTAATGGTTCGACTGCAACAAATATTACTTTCTACAAGTCAGAGTATATCATTTGTGATTGATGTATCCATTCTCTGTCAACTCACGTTTGTTTCAAGGTCGTGTTAATCTGATTGTGTTTGTTCGTAATGAGTTAGACTGCCAATAACTTCACAGACGATTTCGCTAAATTTATTGTAAGCAATGTTGATTGAAATTTTGAATGTTATTCATAAAATAGATAAAAAAGATTGTAACATTAATTCTGGTGTAACAGAATGAAGGAACAGGGGAGTTAGATTTAAACATACATGTTGAATCACATGTCCGCCATATGGAATACTTGTGGAGTTTCCTCCCTTGCTTTCATTCACCCGCTACGGCAGAAGTATTTTTTAAGAATTAATGTTACAAAAATTATAAAAATAACGACAGGCAAGAAAAATAATCTCCAAAGGTTTAATGGTAAAATTAGGCAATATGATATTTCTTTTTAATTTCTGCGTAATCTTGTTCCTTCACTCCATTGAACTGGAAGCTGGCAGGGTAATGGAGGTGAAGAACGGTTTGATGTGCCGGGAATGTCGCTTAAAATGTTGAATTAAATATATTTTACGTCAGTAATTATTAGATGTGAGGTTGGAAATCGGAGAGCATAACCCTGTACAAAGAGAAAGACTGGTAATTTTTCTCTCTGTTGCGCTACAGTTTGCCTGTGGTTGGTTCCAGGTTCGGAAGGAGGGAAGGGGGGTGTCACTCCAAAGGCCCGGGTTAGATTCTCCCATATATATCAGTCACATGATATATCCCGTATATATCACACAACAGTCATATGATATATGCCGTATATATCACACAACAGTCGGATGATAAATCCCATATCTACACACAAGTCACATTATATATCCCGTATGTCACACAAGAGTCACATGACATATCCCGTATATATCACATAACATTCACATGATATATGCCCTATATATCACACAGCAGTCACATATATCCTGTATATATCACACAACATTCACAGCATATATCCCATATATATCACACAACATTCACATGATCTATCCCGTATATATCGCACAACTGCCACATGATATATCCCGTATATGTAACACAAGTCACATTATATGTCCCGTATGTATCACAACATTCACATCATGTATCCGTTTATATCACACAACAGTCACATGATATATCCCATATATATCACACAAGTCACATGATATATCCCGTATGTCACACAACAGTAACATAATATATCACACAACAGTAACATAATATATCCCATATATATCACACAAGTCACATGATATATCCTGTATGTATCACACAACATTCACTTGATCTATCCATTTATATCACACAACAGTCACATGATATATCCCTTATTTCACACAACAGTCACATGATCTATCTGTATATATCACACAAGTCGCATGATATATCCCATATATATCCCACAACAGTCACTTGATATATCCTGTATATATCACACAACGGTCACAGCATATATCCCATATATATCACACAACAGTCACATGATATATCCCTAATATCACACAACAGTTACATGATATGTCCCTTATATCACACAACAGTTACATGATATATCCCTTATATCACACTACAGTCACATGATATATCCCTTATATCACACTACATAGTACTCGATGGACTCAAGCAGAGTTGAACAGTCACTTAGTCAAGTCAGTCGTCTGTCCAGTGCAGGCAAAATGTTTTGGTCAAAGAAAGTGAGGTTCCAGCGCTGAGATGGACGGGCTGGTGTTTTGATGGTCTGAAGACTGTGCTGGTTTATGCAAGTTGACTGGAGTAACAATAAGCTGATGCCACACGGGTTTCAGTGGGTATCTTCTCACTACATATCGCTTCTTTGTAGCTGTGTAACCATAGTAACACATCATTTTTCAGTGTCTCGGCTGTTCTGTGAGAGTGAGTCTTTCAAGATGGACCTGATTCTGGATGTGAACACTCAGGTCTACCCCATGGAACTAGGTGAGTACCACTGTGTATTGTATCAGAGTTGGGTTATCTGCGAATGAGTGAGTGAGCCCTGCCCATGTTAGAGTGAATCTCGGGTGACATCTCGTGTGGGTCCTTGGTGTACCAGTTTGTAGCTGAACGCAGTCTCAGAACCATCACACACACTGCCAGCTTACTGACTGATGCTATGTAGCTGAACGCAGTCTCAGAACCATCACACACACTGCCAGCTTACTGACTGATGCTATGTAGCTGAACGCAGTCTCAGGACCATCACACACACTGCCAGCTTACTGTATGTAGCTGAACGCAGTCTCAGAACCATCACACACACTGCCAGCTTACTGACTGATGCTATGTAGCTGAACGCAGTCTCAGAACCATCACACACACTGCCAGCTTACTGACTGATGCTATGTAGCTGAACGCAGTCTCAGAACCATCACACACACTGCCAGCTTACTGACTGATGCTATGTAGCTGAACGCAGTCTCAGAACCATCACACACACTGCCAGCTTACTGACTGATGCTATGTAGCTGAACGCAGTCTCAGAACCATCACACACACTGCCAGCTTACTGACTGATGCTATGTTGTGTTTCCTAGGATACTGATAAATGTTGGGTTACCTGGGAACGGGTGGTCGGGCTTGCTGGCTTTGTTGACACATGTCATCGTATCCCAATTGCGTAGATCGATTCTCATGTTGATCACTGGATTGTCTGGCCCAGACTCGATTATTTACAGACTACCGCCATATAGCTAAAATATTGCAGAGTGAGGTGTAAAATTAAACTCACTCACTCACTCCTAGGTTACGGATTCTTGTAGTTTGTCATTTTCCCAGGTGACTGATTCTTGTCATGTGACTGTTTATTTCATGAATAATGACTTGTTATGTGTCTTCCTCAGGTGACAAGTTTCGCCTGGTGATCGCCACAACGCTCCGGGAGGACGGCTACCCAGAAGATGGAGAGTACAACCCCACACAGCAGGGTCCATCACGTACTGACCAGTTCGAGTACGTCATGTTTGGCAAAGTCTACAGAATCGAGGGGGATGACGGTGGCATGGACTCCTCCAGACTGTAAGTGCTACATTGCTCTTGTTGCCATGGTTCCTTCACCTGTCAGCTGGGTGCTGTTGCATTATAGCATACAATGACCTGTGTGATATATTGCCATGATTTACAGGCATACAATGACCTGTGTGATATATTGCCCTGATTTACAGGCATACCATGACCTGTGTTATATATTGCCATGATTTACAGGCATACCATGACCTGTGTGATATATTGCCCTGATTTACAAGCATACAATGACCTGTGTGATATATTGCCCTGATTTACAAGTCCACATCGACCTGTGTGATATTGCCCTGATTTACAAGTCCACAATGACCTGCGTGATATAGCCCTGATTTACAAGCATACAATGACCTGCATGATATATTGCCCTGATGTACAAGCATACAATGACCTGTGTGATATATTGGCCTTATTTACAAGCATACAATGACCTTCATGATATCACCCTGACTTACAAGCATACCATGACCTGTGTCATATATTGCCCTGATTTACTAGTCCACAATGACCTGTGTGATATATTGCCCTGATTTGCAAGCATACAATGACCTGTGTGATATATTGCCCTGATTTACAAGCATACAATGACCTGTGTGATATATTGGCCTTATTTACAAGCATACAATGACCTTCATGATATCACCCTGACTTACAAGCATACCATGACCTGTGTCATATATTGCCCTGATTTACTAGTCCACAATGACCTGTGTGATATATTGCCCTGATTTACAAGCATACAATGACCTGCATGATATATTGCCCTGATGTACAAGCATACAATGACCTGTGTGATATATTGGCCTTATTTACAAGCATACAATGACCTTCATGATATCACCCTGACTTACAAGCATACCATGACCTGTGTCATATATTGCCCTGATTTACTAGTCCACAATGACCTGTGTGATATATTGCCCTGATTTACAAGCATACAATGACCTGTGTGATATATTGCCCTGATTTACAAGTCCACATCGACCTGTGTGATATTGCCCTGATTTACAAGTCCACAATGACCTGCGTGATATAGCCCTGATTTACAAGCATACAATGACCTGCATGATATATTGCCCTGATGTACAAGCATACAATGACCTGTGTGATATATTGGCCTTATTTACAAGCATACAATGACCTTCATGATATCACCCTGACTTACAAGCATACCATGACCTGTGTCATATATTGCCCTGATTTACTAGTCCACAATGACCTGTGTGATATATTGCCCTGACGTACAAGTCCATAATGACCTGCATGATATTGGCCTGATTTACAAGCATACAATGACCTGTGTGATATATTGCCCTGATTTACAAGCATACAATGACCTACGTGATATTGCCATGATTTACAAGCATACAATGACCTGTGTGATATATTGCCCTGATTTACTAGTCCACAATGACCTGTGTGATATATGCCCTGATTTACAAGTCCACAATGACATGTGTGATATTGCCCCGATGTACAAGTCCACAATGACCTGTGTGATATATTGCCCTGATTTACAAGTCCAAAATGTCCTGCATGATATTGCCCTGATTTACAAGCATACAATGACCTACGTAATATATTGCCAAGATTTACAAGCATACAATGACCTGCGTGATATCACCCTGATTTACAAGCATACAATGACCTGTGTGATATATTGCCCTGGTGTACAAGCATACAATGACCTGCATGATATATTGCTCTGATTTACAAGCATACAATGACCTGTGTGATATATTGCCCTGATTTACAAGTCCACAAAGACCTGTGCAGTATTGCCCTGATTTACAAGCATACAATGACCTACGTGATATATTGCCCTGATTTGCAAGCATACAATGATCTGTGTGATATAGCCCTGTCTTACAAGTACACAATGACCTATGTGATATCGCCTGATTTTATGCCCTGTTTTATAATTTTGTGATCATAGTCTGTGATGTAAGCTTGGGAATTACAATGATCGTAGCCTGTGTTATAAATTTGAGAGTTGTGTTAGGATTGATTGATACAAACTGTGCTGGACTAGATACACACAGAGTTATCTCCCTTGCATTGTGCCCTGACTGACTGCATTGATGAACTAACTGATTGATAGTGAGCATTGTGACACCCTCCCACATGCATCAAGGTATGCATGTTACAACTTGCCCTCCTGTGAACATAGTGTACGACAATGCACTGTTCCATGTTCATCAGACACAGTGCTGGGTGTCACAAGGTCAGTCCACTTGGAGGGGTGTCTGAATGCAAGTCGGGCCACACCCACAGTAAGCCGAGAGTCATGTGGGGACACGTTGGGCTACCTGTACAAGGGAGAATGTACATGTGAATGCCTGGGTAGAATGAATTACAGGCCTTGGGGAGAACGTGCAGCCCGGACTGAATAACTGGAAATATGAGGTTTATATGTGAGTTTATTCACTGTGAGATAGCAGAACCCTTTTATAGCAGAATCCTGTTGTATTAGGGCACCTGTTGATAGCAGAACCGTGGTGTTTGAGGGCACCTTTTTATAGCAGAACATTGTTATATTTGGGCACCTGTTGATAGCAAAACTCTGTTGTATTTCGGAACCTGTTGATAGCAGCACCCTGTTGAATAAGGACAGCTGTTGATAGCAATACACTGCTGTATTGGGGCACCTGTTGATAGCAACACACTGTTGTATTGGGGCACACATTGACAGTAACAACCTGTTGTATTTAGACACCTGCTAATAGCCATACCTTATAGGGGGCTTTGGTGCCACAAGTCTGTTGTTTTGAAGGCACCTATATATAAAACCACCTGTTCTACCATCACCCTGTTGTATACAGGCACCTGTATATATCACCACTATGTTGTATACAGGCAACTGTATATACCACCACCCTGTTGTATACAGGCTCCTGTATATACCACCACCCTGTTTAATACAGGTACCTGTAAATACCACCACTCTGTTGTATACAGGCTCCTGTATATACCACCACCCTGTTTAATACAGGTTCCTGTAAATACCACCACTCTGTTGTATACAGGCTCCTGTATATACCACCACCCTGTTGTATACAGGCTCCTGTAAATACCACCACCCTGTTGTATGCAGGCACCTGTATATACCACCACCCTGCTGTATACAGGCAGCTGTATACGTCACCACCCTGTTGTATACAGGCACCTGTATATACCACCACCCTGTTGTATACAGGCACCCATCTTCTGCATGAACCTTCCGATGCATGGCACGCAATGAGAAAGTGAGGCTGTGTGTTTTGTTTACCGAGAGGGACTCAGCCTGGCACACAGACCATGGCCCCTGCCCCCTGCCCTGACAACCCCCCCACCTCCCTCCCCCACTGCCTTCCCCTGACTGTGTGTGTCAACATCATGGCCACACAGACAGCACGAGCCCCACCACACAACCCAGCCCTGCTGTGGACACCAGTTCTCACCTTTAACCTCCTACCTGTAACCTCCGACCTGACAGACAACATGCTGAAAGTGGCAGAGAAACTAGTGCAATATTGAGATGTTCCGGTGCTTGCATACCTGGAGGACGCGGAGAGGGGAGGCGAGGGACAACTCAAGTAGGTGGCACTTCCAGTCCTTCCTTCTTCACTGTCCAGCATCCGTCTCTCTGAATAATCTCCAGTACCTATAGTGGTGTATATCAGTCTCTAATGCATTTAGTGGTGTATATCAGTCTCTAGTACATATAGTGGTGTATATCAGTCTCTAGTACATATAGTGGTGTATATCAGTCTCCAGTACATATAGTGGTGTATATCAGTCTCTGGTACATATAGTGGTGTATATCAATCTCTAGTACATATAGTGGTGTATATCAGTCTCTAGTACATATAGTGGTGTATATCAATATCTAGTACATATAGCGGTGTATATCAGTCTCTAGTACATATAGTGGTGTATATCAGTCTCTAGTACATATAGTGGTGTATATCAGTCTCTAGTACATATAGCGGTGTATATCAATATCTAGTACATATAGCGGTGTATATCAGTCTCTAGTACATATAGTGGTATATATCAGTCTCTAGTACATATAGCGGTGTATATCAATATCTAGTACATATAGTGATGTATATCAATATCTAGTACATATAGCGGTGTATATCAGTCTCTAGTACATATAGTGGTATATATCAGTCTCTAGTACATATAGTGGTGTATATCAGTCTCTAGTACATATAGTGGTATATATCAGTCTCTAGTACATATAGTGGTGTATATCAGTCTCTAGTACATATAGTGGTGTATATCAGTCTCTAGTACATATAGTGGTGTATATCAGTCTCTAGTACATATAGTGGTGGTGTATATCAATCTCTCCAGTACATATAGTGGTGTATATCAGTAGTACATATAGTGGTGTATATCAGTCTCTAGTACATATAGTGTGGTGTATATCAGTCTCCAGTACATATAGTGGTGTATATCAGTCTCCAGTACATATAGTGGTGTATATCAGTCTCTAGTACATACAGTGGTATATATCAGTCTCTAGTACATATAATGGTGTATATCAATCTCTAGTACATATAGTGGTGTATATCAGTCTCCAGTACATATAGTGGTGTATATCAGTCTCTAGTACATACAGTGGTATATATCAGTCTCCAGTACATATAGTGGTGTATATCAGTCTCCAGTACATATAGTGGTGTATATCAGCCTCTAGTACATACAGTGGTATATATCAGTCTCCAGTACATATAGTGGTGTATATCAGTCTCTAGTACATATAGTGGTGTATATCAGCCTCTAGTACATATAGTGGTATATATCAGTCTCTAGTACATATAATGGTGTATATCAGTCTCTAGTACATATAGTGGTGTATATCAGTCTCTAGTACATATAGTGGTGTATATCAATCTCCAGTACATATAGTGGTGTATATCAGTCTCCAGTACATATAGTGATGTATATCCGTCTCTAGTACATATAGTGCTGTATATCAGTCTCTAGTACATACAGTGGTATATATC